ACAACAGGTAAAAAGACAAAATGTGCACTAGCATAGATTATATAATTGTTTAGCAATAAGTGTGCTTTAAGAGTGCAGAACTAACTAAGTAGTAACCACGTCTCTTTCATTCTAATGTAATGTAAAAACTAACATTTCTCTGTTTTGCACATATTGAATTTAATTAAAAAATAGTTATGCCCTTGATTTTGTACCTTTCAAGAAAATTTGTTTGAATAGCTAGAGCAATAGTGAATTTATCTGAAGGGAAGACTTATTTTTCCCTCCAGCTACCAAAAATGCATTAACTAAGGCAAAATTATACTTTTATTCCTCTCTGCTTTGCCATTTTATCAGTTATTGTAGTATGTTCAGTGTGGACTTCCTCTTGAGTTTATATAGTAAATTATTTTGAGTGTACTTCATATATTTTAAAATAAAAGCTGACTTTTGTAATAGTGGTGTAAAGTTGGAGAATGTACCAGTAAAACATCTTTCACTGGACACATGGAAGCAGAATGGAGTACCTGGGGCTCTTGTAGCAGAACTTGTAACACTGGAATCAGCAGTCGACAACGAAGATGTGCTAGGTAAGCAACAGCTTATTTGTGTTCTGCTTGTCATATTATTTAATAAATTCCAAATTAGTTATGGACAGATGCACTGTCTACTACTTCAACAATGTAAAGAGGATATTACACAACTAGGTTCGTGATATTACATAAAATTGTACATTATCAGTAAACACTGATATTTCAAGAGCTGTGATAGGTACTCTCAAATATATTTCTTTATATACAATTCATTTTAAGGACGGAAAACTAAGTAAGTAGTATTTGGTTTGTATTTCAGGTTTTAAAATAAATGGTAGAGTTGGGATCTTTATACAGGTCATTACTCAATTCTATGCATATTGGCAGTATGGGGAAGAATTCACATACATTAAGGATAATCCATTTCAACCTTTCCTGCTTTGTTATTCATCAAATATATTAGGGTGCACCTTTTAGAATATCTGATCATGGTGGCCCCCAATCTGTCAGGAGACAACAAGATTAGAAAAGGCTGACGAAGAGAGAGTCAAATAATCGTCATGGTTTAGCCTAATTCTAGCTTGGTACCATAATATTCACAGAGAATTTTTTTGTAACAGTTGCTGTTAGTTGATTACAATAGGTTCCAAATATTAGATTCTCTTTACCATTTAAAGACAGGCTGCACATAGGTAATCACTGTTATTTTAATTGTTTGTAAGTAGTATAGTGCTTATATATTGGACTGGGATTATGCATCCCAGTGTGTGATTTTGAAATGAAAGTGTTCTAGCTAGGGATAAAGTGAGGTGATGTGAAACCACATACTCCTCCTTAATTCCACAGATACAAATGTGATGGCAGTAATAACAATGTAAACCATGCAGGCCATGTGCACACAACTAAATTTAATTTAATAATTTTTATTTTTATTTTTCCTAGTCCAGGTTATGAAGAAACAGAATGCCAGGGATCAAGAATACAATACAAAATATGTGAGAATCCCTCTTGTACTCCTGGACTGCCTGCATTCAGGGATTGGCAGTGTCAGGCCTTCAGCGTTAGGCTAGCATATCAGAAACATATACACCAATGGCAGGCTGTTGTAGATGAAGGTAAGAACATACCCCAGCCTTATATTTAATCGCCACAAGCTTACTGTCAAAAGTACACTTGTGCAACACATATATACCCACACAAAATACACACGCATATACCCACACACAAATCTGCACATATGTATTAAAATAGATTTAACAGTTCATTGTACCCGATAATTATACTAGTTCGATAAAGTAGTAGGAACCATATCAGTGATGTTGACTAATCTAGTGAAAACAATGAGAGTAGTGCAGTTTTAAAACTTTATAGTAGATTACTTAAGAAATACTTTTGTGTGCTTTTTTGAAAAAAAGAAGAAGAATGGTTTCTTCCATTTAAATAAATAATACAGCATGCAGTGGATTTTGGCAGATATAAAATAAATACTAGAATTATATATTTTAATTAATCATGAAGCATTTTTTTAAAATGTAATTTTATCCATACTACAGATTTGCAACAAAATCAAAGAAGTATGTTATGAACCTTATGACTAGTTATGTAATGCTGATATTGCCTTTGTGCACTTCATCACATAAATATAGTGATAAAAGCTTGTGTCGGAATACATGTTTTAGCATTTAGAATACCACAGAATTGTTCAGTTTGAAATACAAAATGCAAATAATTCATAAAGTAAGAATTGTTCCTAAAGGTTGATCACTAAAAAAGGGCAGATTTAGTCCTAAAATGTCTCAAAAAGTAAAATAATTTATCAGCATTTAATTCTGTTATTACCTTGTTTCTTTCAAATATAATCAGAATGATGCCATTTACTTTAAAGATAATGAAGTCATTCTTTGCAGTTTAGCAAGAAGCTGAGTACAAATAAATATATTTTCCTTGGCCAATTACTGGAAAATGTCAATGTATTTATCATATTGTCTCTATTTTAAAATAACATTTTAAGTTAATACCAGTCTTCTTTGCTACTTCAATGAAGAGACAAACAAGTAAAGATGAATTTGAGCCTTATTTTTTTAGCCACATTTTTTGTTATTGTGAAAGGGGAGGAAAATTGCTCAGGAGTGCTATATTACATGTAGAATAATCCATGACTGGATGTCTATGATTTGTAAACATTGATTTTTAAAAATGGATTGTCACAAGAATTGTGTATTACTGTTATATTATTATAATATATTGTTTATTTATAATGCAGTATATATAATAATAGTAGTGGAAGCTGCAACTGAAGCGGGGGAGGAGTTAAAAGAGTGGCTAGCCTAGAATCCCTGAAGGAGAGGAAACAAGGGAGATTAGGCACCCCTCCTCAACCTGAAGTGCTTATCTGGTTGTTCTGTAGTGAGTACAGTTAGTCTGGTGAAATTATTGTAAATAGGTGAGTAGCAATAAATGAACTGCTCTGATCAGTCTCTCAGTGTCATTTCTTGCACCTGACAATAATGTAGCAAACTGAGAGCCAGTTTGGTCTAGGGATTAAGGCATCAGGCTAGAAACCAGGAGACTGCCAATCATTGTCTCTTAACCCAACCCATCACACAGGATTGTTGTGGGAAAAATAAGAGGAGATTTTGTGCTGTCAATTAATAAATCAACACTATTCAACCATGAAAATCTTTAAAATTTTCCAATAATGTACTCATTAAATCTCTTAAAATATATGTGTTATATAACCAGTACTGGATTATTTGAATTGTTTAAAACTATTTTCAAATCACATTTTTTAAAAAAATGTATTTATTCACATAGAAAAACCATGTGCGTTATTTTGTTCTCCAAATGGAAAAGAACAGCCAATATTGGTAACAGAGAAAGTGATGGATGGAACTTCCTGTGGGCCTCAGGATCTAGATGTATGTGCAAATGGAAAATGTCAGGTAAATCTTCCAAAACTAACTATTACTGTTTAATTATTTTGAAGTTTTTCCCCCTTAATTCTTTTAGATTATGGATGTCATCTTTAAACTTAAATTAATCTGCAATTTAAATTTAGAACACTGTAGAAGAAATTAATAATAATGCTATATTTTTGTATGTATGAAGTAGGAATTTTGAAGGAGGGCTTCTTAAAACCAATCTTTTAAGGAAAAAGTGATAAAATTTCTGATGAGAAAGAATATTTTTTTAATTCCGTTTGCTGTCCAGATACCCCAGAATAGTTCAAAATAGGTTATCACATTTTATTGTTAGTAAATAATATATTTCTTACTAATTATAGTCTAATTTGATCCTTTAGCCTAGAGCGGAAAATATGCTATTCTTTCTTTTTTTTTCTTCAGAAATTCGGCTGTGATGGCATATTGGGTTCTTTGGCATGGGAAGATCACTGTGGTGTCTGCAATGGAGATGGAAAATCATGTAGAGTTGTTAAAGGAGATTTTAATCATACTCGAGGAGCAGGTAAACATCTTTTAAAATGTATTTATTAAAATCTGCAAAAAATTTAAATGCGATGAGTATTCTGCAGGCTATAAATTGTGTAGTATCATCCTATTTTTATGTTGTATAAATTAAAGCACAGCATTTAGGAAAAGTATTTTAGCTTAATTTTACCCAGTTTCAACCTTGTTGCTAAGGAAATTAGGAACACATACACTAAGAATAAGTATGTTGTAAATCCAACTCTATACTTTTGGATACAGGATCTTATCTGGGATTATTTTGTGTACCTGAACAGTAAATACTGCTCTGGATTAAAATGTTATCAACACTAGAATTTTAAATAAAGGACAGAAATAAGATCATTTGCCCAAAGAAAATTATTTCATTTATAGAAAAAATGAATAGGTTTTTTAATATTAAATGAACAAAATATAAATAAACTCATACAGCTGCATTAAAGAATCAATCCAACTTCAAAGTTGACCAACATAGGAATATGAAAGGGAAGAAAGGGCCTAGAAATGATGCTAGAAACACAACGACTCCTCAAACTTTATAATCATATTATTTAAAAGTCTTGCTCCTTTGTAAAAAAAAAAAACTAATTCAAGTGTTAAAAAGATGTCAGATGCAGATATCAAACTTCTTCTATTGTTCTATATAATTCTTGAGGGAAGGTATGCTCACATATCAAACAAATACAAAAATATCATCACAATATTTATATCAGTTGCATAATTAAGTAATTACACAAATGATATAAATAGTAGCAGAAATTGTAAAAAAATAAATTTAATTGTGCCATCTGGAGTACATTGCATCCAGTGGCCTTGTCTGTCATTTTGGGTGGAAATTGGAACAGAGATGTTATCCATTGCATCTGAAGTCAACTAAAGCAGAGGTCCCGAACCTTTTGGGCACCAGGGACCGGTTCCGTGGAGAAAAATTTTTCTGCGGTCTGGAGAGCGTGTGGGTTTGTGTGCTGCCTGCGTCCCACAAATGGAGCTTTCCTTGTTTGTGCGGCCCAATTGCTGGCAGGCCATGTCCCGGTACCGGACCATGGACTGGGAGTTGGGGACCCCTGCACTAAAGGGAACTGAGGTTTCACTTTAATTGGAAGCAGAAAATATATTAATAATCAATTAACACATCAAATCAAATAAAGTTTCACATTAAAAATCAGATGTAAATTGATGAAGTTAAATGAAAATTAGATGTTTTCATTCTTTGGGTGTTTCTGGGTCCTGTAAAGAAGATTGCATATAGCATAAAAAGTGCAAAAATGTGAACTAGATGTTTGAAGTTTTATAACTTGAATTTTGCTTAAAATTGATGGAAAAACCTATGTGCAACTTCACAGCATCTGCACCAGCATTTAATGAAACATTAAAGTTTCCTTTTAATGATAAAATGAATGCTGCAATATCACAACATGAGCTCTGTCCCTTACATATGTGGATTCTATATCACAATGCAGATATAAAAAGTGGTGCTTGCATAACATTGTAATGCTTGTGTCATAATGTTTCACTCTGGGCCCCCAAGTAAGCCTACTCGTGCCTACTCGTGCCTAAACTTGAAGAGTCTGGATATTGAAATTATATTATTGAATATATTATTATATTGTATTAATTATATTACTTATATTACTTATATTATTGTTGTATTTTATATATTATATTATTGTATATTTATTGTAATATATTAATTATTTTAAGAGTTTAAATATTCTAAAATAGGGCAGAGGTAAAAAGAAATATTAAATAATTACTTAATAATATTACTTAATACATTTAAATTTAATAAATAAATAATAAATAAATTTAAGGTTCCTGTTCTTCATTTGTCAATCTTGTAATTCTATAGAAATCTATTTAACCTTTCCAGAAATGCCAGGTAAGGTACACCATACCTTTCTAGCAAGCTTATATATTTCTACAAAAAAAATGATTGCTTTAAAATACAGGATCTTTTTAGTATAGATGAACTACTTATGAAACTATCCCGTTTCTGATTTGTAGAAATAATTTGATAAAAACAATCATTTTCCTATTAGTCAATAAATTAAATTTAAAGGACTATAAAACATAGGCTATGTTTTATGTCTAGTTATACAGATATAAATCCTGTTCATTTCTTCAAGAATTATGCATGTGAAGCTTTCTGGAGTTTGCAACCACAGTGCTTATCTGTGGTCTTAATGATTAAGTAGTATTTGTTTTTATTGAATCTGTATTACTGCTGCGGTTTTTCCCATTCAAGTGTTTGAATGAATGTCTAGCTTTGTTATGATCAGTTAACTGTAGACACTGTATTTGCGGATAGTACACATTTCTGTATATTTATTTTGGATATAGCTATTTAGAATTTGCCAAGTAATTTTTGTTGAGTTGGGAAGGAAATCTAGAAGTCCCATTTCCTTATCCCCTGCCCACAGTGGAGCAATGTAAATATGTTAAATTTACTTCTGATTTTTTTTATTAATCTAGGAATGTTAATATAAATATTTTACCCAATCCTCTGGAATCGGCCCAAGTGAAAATTATAAAATGATATCAGTAAAAATGCCAGTAGTGAATCTCTTTGATATTAGCCATTCACATGGTAAAAGTAAGAAATGTAAACAAATAAATGCAGTAATTATTCAGTATATATCCAGTTCAGTATCAGCAGATGATAATGCTATGTTGCTGCTGCTTCTTTGTTTTGTAGTGCCTTTTGGCTGTAATAAAAATGTTTGCAGACTAACAGAATTAACAGAGTAACAGAGTTGAAAGGGACCTTGCAGGTCTTCTAGTTCAACCTCCTGCTCAGGCAGGAGATCCTATACAATTTCAGAGAAATGGTTGTCCAATCTCTTCTACTATTCCCCTTCAGATTGCTGAAAGGGAATAATAAATTGAATTATATTAGGAATGATATGACAAAACCTGCTAGGAATTTGGTAATTAGTGATCTTTCAAAAAACACTTAGAAAGTTAAATTAAATTATTTCAGCTTTAAAACAACTAATTAAAATAATATTTCCAACAGAATTTCAATCATGGATATCTGAAGAGGAAATTAAAATCTGCAAAATCTTAATATAAATGTTTGACGATGCATGTATCAAGTGGTAGAGCTTTGTTCATAGCACAAGTGCTATCATCTTGTAGATTTGGAACATTGACCCCACCCCACCCCACCCTGTGCATACTGCTTCTCATAATAAATGTTTGTACTGTGAGGGGGGATTATAAGAACACATACAAGAGTGGAATAGAATAGGGTCTTCTGCTTGAGCAAGGGGGTGGATTAGAACAGGGGTCCCCAATCCCTGGTCCGTGGACTGGCACCAGGTCGCAGCATGCCAGAAACCTGGCTGTGCAAACAAGTGAAGCTCCATCTGTGGGATACAGGCAGCACATGAAACCATGCTCCCTCCAGTCTGCAGAAAAACCTTTCTCCATGGAACTGGTCCCCGGTGCCCAAAATGTTGGGGGCTGCTGGACTAGAAGACCTCAACAGTCTCTTCCAACTCTGTTATTCTGCATTCTGTGTTAAAACAGAGCAGGATTTTCTTTCTAACTTCCAACATTCATGAAACTTATTTAAAGGTGGCTAGCAATCACATTCTAATATTGTTGACTAGCGGCAGCTGCTGAATGATCCAGTGAAGCATGGCTTAACAAAGTATTAGCACAAGAGATGGTTTGACCTGTTCAGCTGCCCACCACCACTAGTTTAAGAATACTAGTTAGATGATAATAGAGTATGTGAAATTTCTTATATCCCAATTTGTTTAATGCAGACATGTCAAACTCGCGACGTCACGTGATGTCACTCAACGTATCGGAACTGTTTTGCCATTGCTGGCAATGGGGTGGGCGTGGCTTCTGCGTGACACATCCGGCCCGCGGGCCAGCAGTTTAACACCCCTGGTTTAATGCTTCCAACAGAGTCTTACATATTAAGCAAAGACTAGAAGTTTATGTTTGACCCACCCTGGCCATCTTTTTGGTCCTAAGTAGGATGGTTGGAAACTAAAGTGCTTTGGTCGATAGCTGATCCATAGAACCCTCTCCAAGTAGTTGACAGAACAGCTGACTTAGCAATTTAGCACTTCTTTATGTACTGTAGCTCAGAGATAAAAATAGGGAAGATATAGACTCATGACAAACTTTTTGGAAAATATAGTTTCTTTGAATAAAGAATAGTATAGGTTCATTGATATTTTTCAGAAAAGATAAAAACTTTTCCTCCCTTTTATTGTCCATGGAATCTATAAAGGGGACAGGTTTGTAATCAACTCAGAATTGTTCAAGTGAGATACAGTAATACTTGATAATCGGGGGGAGGGGGAGAGAGAACAAGAATTTGATGCACAAAATCAAAAGTCTAGATTCCAGAAATTTGACTCAAAGAAAATAGGGCATTAAGAGCAAATATAATTTTAAAGATTTTTGAATAGATGGAACCAACTTTAATATAAATATTATTCTAATTTAAATAAACAGATAACAATATAAATGTCGGTATATATACTCAGGTTATGTGGAAGCCTTAGTGATACCTGCAGGAGCAAGAAGAATCAAAGTTGTGGAAGAAAAACCAGCTCACAGCTACTTGGGTAAGTTGTGATCAAATCAAATCAAACAGTGTGACTGTCAGGATGGAGGGTCTGTCTAACCTGGATGAAACCAAAGCAATTAGCTTCTTCTTTAAGTAGCAAAATGGAAGCATTCTAGTTCAGAATTTCAGGAAAAAAGTAATAAGGTTGTTATTGATCAGATTAAAACTGACCAACTGGAATGCTAGCAATTTATTAATATAACCTAATGTTTCATATAGTTTCTGTATATATTGTACAGCTTTATTGTTTATATCAAATTTTTCTTATTACCACAGTAGAATTAGTTAATAGAATATAAACTGTTGTGAACTGTAGCTAACTGTAATTTATTTTGAATGCAGTTCCCAAAAAGTAAAAACGATAAATTGGTCAAAAATTTCAGTGATTTTTAAAAAAAGAACTAGCTGATTTGGTGTTTTGCCAAGTGTTAGCACTTAGTTCGGCTATTTTAGAATGATTGATTCAAAAGTTGCAAAATTCACAAATCTTTTCATGACTAGAGGTCTGTAAATAGTTTTTGTAAAACATAGAAACAAAGAAGTCTCTGTGGGACTTACTGTCTCTTATAATTTACCACAGAATCAACTAAATACTGAAAGAGAAAAACGGGCAGAGTCTAAGTTTCTAGCTTAGTTCTAAGCACTCACAAAAAAAAAAGATGAAACTGACAGCAACCGAAAGCTCATTTTGGAAAATATCCAGAATTATGATTTCTAATGTTTGTCAGACTCAACTGATACTGCTTTTGCCTTGTGGAAATATTTAAAAGAATCTAAGTTTGCCAAAGCAGTAGACTGAAAACTGAAAGGTGATATAAAACAGTTACACATATATTATTCCAGGAGTGGGCAACTTTAGCAAGTTTACAACCTGCTGGCTCAGGAATTCTTTCCCTGATGTTGAAATCCACAGGTCATAAAATTGCCATAATTGCACACCCCTGTATTAGTTACAGTGTTACAATTTGTGGAAGGCTGTAGGGGGTGACTCTTCTTGAAGTGGATGAGAATTACCTCTGAATATAAATGCAAGTCTAAAAAATGGAATCATATAATCTTACTGCGTAGTTAGCAGTATTGCCAAAGAAGATACATGCAAGGTCCATTTTGAAAAAGAATGAATCAGTGTATCCAAGAGCCTAATTAGATAGCTGTAATCCTTAGAATACATTTCTCTTCTCTCCCCCACCACCTTCCAATGCTAAGTGACTTGGGAGTAAGTTACAGAGTGAGAACTGAATACTAATTTGAGTATGATTTGGAGTCTGTATTTAAATTTTAATAGAGCAAAAATTAGTTTTCCAACATATCATTGTTTCCAGTGTTTACAAGCCATCAATAAATATTGCAAATATCACTATAAATGTCCTAAATAAAAATGAATAAAATGTAGCTGATACTTGACCTGTCAGAGTTGGTTATAGTGAGACATGGCTTGTGTTACCTTTTTAGCGGAGGGTCTCCCTTGAAACGTTTGGCCTAGAATAATAATCAGTGTTAGGAACTATAGCACACAAAAGAAGTTCCCATGCAACAAAAAGAGCTTTTTTGTATAAAGTATATTATACATATAAATGCCGCTTGATTTTAATCTTGCAGTGTAGTGCTTTAAAAATTCTGTGTGTGTGTGTCTGTGTGTGTGGTGTGTTTGGTATATGTGTGAATGCATCTTGAGTGAACTAAAATTCTCAAGAAGATATACAATGTACCAGGTATAAAGTATTGCTGCTGGATTGTGTGAGTGTGTCACAGACAAGATCAGGAATGTTGTTTTTTTAAAAAAAAAATTCACATAATATTTAATTATCTTTTGATGATATACAAAACATTCAGAAGAGAAGAACAAGATTGCTGTTTAAATCTAGAGTTCTTTTCCTAACTTTGCAAATGGAATGCATTTTTTTAAACTCATTTTTCTCCAAAACATATTTAATTATGTTTTTACAAGCTGAAGGGCCCAGGAAAACTTCAAAAACATATTGTCCATTTTCCTCAAATGAAATTGTTTGCATGCATGTTGCATCTGTACAGATCAAAAGGGAAGACCTGAAAGATCATATCAATCCACATCTGGATTTGTTTATGTGAAGATAGTATTGATTTGTTTTCTAAGTGGAAATACGAGAATCACAATAACAAGAATGGAAGTGTTGCCACAATTAGAAGCATAAAAGGAGAAATGGATATGCCATATATGAAGAATATGTAATATAAAAAAGAGGAGAAAACAAATACAGTAATTCAAATGTATAAGCTCAATGCTAGCACGTGGATGGAATCTGCAGTATTCACACAATATCACCACAACTTCATGCCAAATTACAGAGGTGTCAGCAGTAGCCAAATTATTTCTTCTCATATAATATATAATTCTAATATATATAATTTCATATGTCTGGAGTTTTCCCTACAGGTATTTCCCCTGTATTTTTATACTCTAAATCACTTGCCACACAAGGCTGGTAATCTCTCTTATTTAACTACTACTTTTCTTTTCCCACTCATATCTAACTGATTGCTTTGCCTAGAAGGCTGGGTGCATTTTCTAGGGTTTTGGATTTTTTTGCATCTATGGGGAGATGCACCACTCTTTGGCTCCTTCCAACCAAAAGGTACCTACATGGATTTCCTCTTTAGATTCATAACAGTGATAAATTTTACATCCATACAACATCAGCTAGTTGAACTGTTCTGAGTATTAACTATTCTGAGTAGTAATTGGCTATCATAAAGGCTATCTTACTTGGGCCATGTCATGCAAGATGACTCACTCAAAAAGTCAATCATGCTGAGAGGGATCACCAGAAAATGGAGAAAGGGTCGCCCTAGTACCTGTTGGCTGGATGTGGATAACATCAGGATGACCATGGCGGATCTGAAGGAGGTGGTACAAGACAGAGGGTCATGAAGAATGCTGATACATAGAGTGGCCGAGGGTTGGACATGACGGAATGATTGACAACGATGTGTTAATTGGACTTCTACAGACTTGTCCCAAGTAAATGTTTTACTAAGACTTATCCAGGAAGCCTTTTGTAGATAAGACATTCATACTCCTGGACATGAATTCTTCTTTCTTAGGGAACTCTATATTAAAAAGGCCAATGTAAAAATCCAAATAGTCACTTGAATACAAATATTATTTAGTTCAGCTTTTGAATGGGTTGTGTAAATGAGATATGTAGGCCTGGTGGATAATTTTTAACGAGAAAAGGATAAAGGACTTTAACTTATTTATTATTTATTTATAAAATGTTCTGACAGTCCAATGCAGGATTCTATGCATACTGTAAATCATATAATATGAAATGCCACAATTATTAAGACATTATGTAGAAATTACCATTAAAATTTCTAAAATAATCTAATACTGGATGTAAGAACAAACACAGGAAACCATATGTTATATAGAACATTATTATATCACAAATAGTAATGGGGTGGAGGCATCTTCATCTGGGAGAGACAAGATATTATATAGCATAGGGATAGCCACTGAGAAGTCCTGTTTTCATACTCTACCCTCTTCCCCCTCATTGGTGAGAATTTCAACCTACCTGCTCAACCTACACGCACAGGGTAGGCAGATTCCAGTTAGAAAGGACTCATGCCATAAAGGGCTTTATAAGTCATAATCAGCATTTTTAATTTTACACCGAATTGTATTGGTTGCTCACAGTGTAAGTTTTGCCCACAGTATAAAACAAGCTGTCACCCTCCAGCAATTGGACCGCAGCCTTTGGAATCAACTGCAGTTTCCAATTAGGCTTTAAGACAGCCTAAATAGAATATATTGCAGCAGTCAAACATGACTCAATGAAGGCATTATTAACTGTATAAGGGCAGGCTGCTTTAAAGAAAGCTGCAACTGGCTTACCAACAGGCTGTTTTGACTCATGACCTCCACATAAGGTTACTACTTCTTACGTACTTTTAAAAAAAACGTGAGTGTTTTTCTCAGCATGACATATGTTGCAACTGGAATCCTTGTCTGGGAATGGCAGTTGCAATACATCTAGGCAGCAGAAAGCAGATGGCATGTAGAGGTTCTCTTTTCCCGTGCTTTGGCTTCCATCACATAGTTTGAGGAAGATAGTTCCTTTGTCTTCTCTGGTGCAGTAGGCTTTATTTTACCTTCATTTGTGGTTTTTTTGTGGGTTTTTTGTAGTTGCTGCGTACGGTGCTACTTGAGATAACAGCCATAAATTAGGAAGGCAATATTGTGTACTGTGTATTGAGTACATATTGTGGATAGTTTAAACAAGCAGAAAATCAGATTAAGATAATGACTAGAAATAGAATGATGGTATATCATATTTTGGAAAAGTTCACATTTTCTTGAGCGATCATACTCACATCTTTAGGTAGTATCTGATTTTCTGGTTATGTTCCTTTGAAAATATCAGAATTTTACATGATAAATGTATTACTTAAATGTATTCTGTCTTGGGCAGAGGGTGTTTCTCCACTAATTGTACTAGAAGTCATCAACAAGTTTGATGATGTTATGGTTTCCACTGTATTCCAGTGTGGGCCTTTTCACTTTTATTTTATTAAATAAAATACTCTAAATGTTATGACAGTAAAAGGGAAAAGCTTTTTAGCACTGTTGCATTATTGAATACTGCAAATATTACAGAACATTTCACACTATTTGTATTTTTTTTTTGCTGCCCTTTGATGGCCAAAATGATTCTTGGATAATTTAATTATATTTTTGATGCTGTTATTGCCATTGTTTCCTATAGTCCAAATATGGATGGGAATTGATTGCCAGGAGTGACTCACACAAAGATAAAACTATGAAGAATTTGGGGACAAGAGTTGAGTAACTGAAGCACTTTCACATGATTAATGACAAATATGGAACTTCAGTGAGAAAGTACGCGTTAGAGCCACCATTTCTAGAGGACTTCAAGCCTATTTAATTCTATATTTCTGAGTCTGAACTATCAAAATTCACATTATAGGAAGAACAGTGAAAGACTATGAATCAGTACTGACAGTTCCTAGTAATCTATATAAGTTGACATTAAATGTGTGGCTTGATTAAGCTGTAGAAAGGAAATAGCCAAAAAGCATTATTTTTGGCAGGATAGATCAAAGACAGAATAGGTTTCATTTCAAAAGTCAGTTACAAATATCCAGACTATATGCAAATCTATAGGAAGTTTAAGTCAAAAGTTTGCCTTATGTTATGTATTTGCAAACAATTGTCATCAATAGATTACATAGTCAAAATAAATTATTAATTTCTTTTAAAAGCACTCAGATTTCACAAGCTATTCATCAATGTGTTTGTGTGTGTGTATGTGTGTGAGGGAGGGAGGGAGGGAGAGAGAGGGAGGGAGGGAGGGAGGGAGAAAGGAAGGAGGAAAGGAAGAAAGGAAGTTCAAGTTAGTAAATAGAAAGCTACTTTGAATCTCATATCCCAACAGTCTAAACCAGCATGGTCAATAATAAGATTATGGGATTTCTAATTCTAGAAAATTTGGAACCAATTTTCTTATCTCAGTTTTATTCCATCAATAGAATTTTTAAACTGTAAGAACAATGGTACAGTATGAATATAATATTTAAAGTACCATAATGTTACATATATATTCTTCTATTGTATCACTGTGTTTTAAAGTAAATAATTTTCAATTAATAATTTGGAGTATCCATATTATAGTGGTAGACTAATTATTATAGGCTTTTCACATAGTAATATCTGTATTGAATGTTAAGAGAATTCTGAAAGTACATATAACTTGTTATTCAGCGGAAGTACAGCTGTTTTCTTACTGGAATTTTATTATTATGTTTATTAATCTTAAATTGTTTTAAATTTTTGATTAAATGGCTCTTTTAGCATAATAATCAGGCCTGACATAAAACACACTCTTTTGTACTGTTTTCTAATGTATCCTCAGCACTTCGAGATGCCAGCAAACAGTCTATTAATAGTGATTGGAAGATAGAACATTCTGGAACATTCAACATTGCTGGTACCACTGTCCATTATGTTAGGAGAGGTCTGTGGGAAAAAATTTCTGCCAAAGGTCCAACTACATCACCTTTACATTTATTGGTATAGTAGCATAGATAATTATTTAAATGTATTCTACGTTATAGGGTGAAATGTTTATGTCTAAATATATGTATTGTTTTGCAAGCAGTATATGGTGACCAATTTAGAATAACATAAGAACACAAAACAAGTTATGCCAGATCAGATAACAATCTCATTTAGTCCAACACATTATGGTTCATATCAAGAAAGGGGCTAGCTATTTCCGAATGGGAATCTGCAACATAATGCGATCCCATTAGTAACTCATATCAGTATTAGAAGACCTACATTCTTCAGGACTAGGGTTTGGCATCATGATATGCATGTTCTCTAGGAAAAGTATTTCCTTGATTAGGTAATATCTCAAGAATGTATGTATTCTAAAAATCTAGGAGAAAAGGAGATGTATACATAATCTGAACAATATGCTAATGATAAATTAAACTATACTTAAAATTATTAAAATACTGGATCTTTAATTTCTTCATAATCTCAAATGTGCTCAAACTCTTGAAGTGCTAATTCTGATTACTATTCAGAATATATAGGAAAGTTCTAGTTGTGCTCAGAGCATGGATATGTGAAAGTGCAGAACATCAAATTTTTAATTCATTTCAGTGGAAAGAACCAATATATACAAATAAGCTTTTATAAGTGAATGCAAATCAACACACCGAGAGAGTTTTGTATTTGTACTTATGTGTACATACGTGAAGTACATGGAATAATCATAAATAGGATAATGGAGACAACAAAAATAGAGTCTGGCTTTGATGAGTAGACTAATTATAGACCTACAATTGCAGGTAATCCTTAATTTACAACCACAATTGAGCCCAAAATTTCCATTGCTAGGCAAGACAGTGGTTAAGTGAGCTTTGGCCCATTTTACGATTATATTTATCATAGTTAAGTTAATCACTGCAGTTGTTAAATTAGTAAAACAGTTGTTAAGTGAACCTGGCTTTCCCATTGACTTTGCTTGTCAGAAGGTCACAAAAGGTGATCACATGACCTCAGGACATTGCAACTTTCATAAATATAAGTCAGTTGCCAAGCATCTGAGTTTTGATCATCTGACCATAGGGATGCTGCAACAATTGTGTGAAAAATGGTCATAAGTCACTTTTTTCAGTGCTATTGTAACTTCATTCAGTAAACGAATGGTTATAAGTCAAGGATTACGTGTACCAGAATTCCTAGCTAAGACAATTGTTGGATTGCTGGCAGAATTCTCAGAGTATACTGACAGATTCTTCCTTCTTTCCTTCTTTCCTTCTTTCCTTCTTTCCTTCTTTCCTTCCTTCCTTCCTTCCTTCCTTCCTTCCTTCCTTCCTTCCTTCCTTTCTTCCTATAAATGAAGTCTCTTATCTTGATTGAGACCAGTCTTATTTTGCCTGCTGGAAGATAGTTTTAACTCTGAATGTTGGGCATTTATTATGGAATTTCTTTATGATTTTCTGTAGACTGATGTTTCTTTTTTATCATGTCTGCTTTTTTTGTCATATCTAGCCATACAAATATTAATTACTTATATATTACAGGTCCTGCTTTTTCAAGATCAGAATTATGGGCTACATTATGAATATACTATTCCTTTAGATCCAGTTAACGAGAATCAGAGCACAAAGGTATCGGAGCCTCTATTTATGTGGACCCACTCAGGTTGGGAAGACTGTAATGCTGTATGTGGAGGAGGTAATGATTATACATTTGTGGGTATAGCGACATATGTATTGGTGTAATTTGATGCATCTTCCATTATATTAATTTTGTCATTAGGGCTACTAAGTCAGCCCAATTGCAGTGAAAAAGCAGAATTGTTCAAAATATTTATATAAGAGGGATAAGATACAAAGACTAATACCTTTAACAAAGAAAAAGTCAAACTTGATTTGTTTTGTCCTGGTAAACCTCTGGCAAAATGAAAAGGGATTCCAATTAGCCCTTCAACTGTATGTTCATAAATGTTATTCACATAGAACATGAAATGATCTGTCTGATAGGACAATGAGTAAAAACACCCACTTCCTTCCCAGGTAATATCAGCTGATCACAGTGATTCTGTTTCGGGGTGATCACAATGCTATGAAGTTTTCTTGCCATAATTATTTTGCTTTTTTCAGAACAATGTAACTGCTTTCAATCATTTTGGCAAACTACTGTTTTGAGGTTTGTCAAAACATTTTAAAATTTCCGTTGCCGCATTGAATGTGCTATTCTAGACTTATTCTAGGTGTTTCTAATATCTGCAATATAACCCTTAACACTTTCTTCAATAAACTATTTTACATTGTTGCACAGATAAATATTTGGCAGAAGTATTCATTTAGGTTTAGAATTTTGACTAATATAAAACTTGTTAGAATATAAAACTTGTTATCTGTTAGAAAACTAGATTTTTTTCATTTCTGGGTTTGTTTGTTTGTTTTGCAAAGTTTTAATCCAATATTTTTAAAACTATCTTAAAAGTTTTATATAAAAATATGAAATCCTCACTAATTTATTTTATCAGTTTCAGGATGGAATTTGATATTTATCCCCAAGTGAAAATAAGAGTGAAAACATTAGAGTTTTTTCCAAGTATATATGGCTATCCTATTTATTAATATTTCAGTAATTTTGAATACTTTTATTCAATGATAAAACTGTTGTCATCAAAGCTCTGCAAACTTTGTTTTCCTTTTTACCAGGTGAAAGAAAGACAACAGTATCCTGCACAAAAATTATGAATAAGCATATTAGTTTTGTGGATAACAAGAAATGCAAACATTTAACAAAACCTGAACCACAAATTCGAAAGTGCAATGAGCAGCCATGCCATACAAGGTGAGGTTGAGACCCAAAATTCAGATTCATATAATGGACACTGAAATGGAATGAGAGGCTGTCCCTTGGGAAGTTCCAGGTATTCCATCAGCCAAGGACCCGGGGTAGGGGTGGTGGGGTAGCGGC